ATCAGCTCCTCTCTATCTCGCTCGCTCCTTTTCTTTCTCGCACATGCACACAGGAGCACACATACACACACACATACAAGTACATACATACACACATGCGCACACGCACACACACACATACACACACACGCTTGGAGGGGAAATGACAGCGTCGTTGTGCGTCCGCCGTCGCAGAGTACATTAAGCCGTACTTACCAATTGTCTAGCTTGATCAGCTCCTCGGGTTTTTTCGACTTGTGATCGGCCTTGAGGCGCAGCGCCTGCGGATAAAGTTTCAGAACGTGGTCGAACTGCGTCGCGGTGCCCTCCGCGAAGAAAGTCGCTGTGTCTTTCACGGAAGCCATTGCGATAACGCGGGCTTCGATCGACGGCCGTCGGGGCGCAGCACCAGCGCCGCCTACTGCCGCTGCTCCGTAAAGCGCGTCGGCCGTTCCCGTTGCTGATGCCGCCGCCGTTGCTCGCTGTTCTCTCGCTGTTACCACCGCCGCCGCCGCCGCTGCTACGGGCGGCGTTGCCACGTCTCGTTTGCTCTTTGCCGAGGAATCCTACTTCACCCTCGCGAATTCCCTCACCAGTGCGGCGCGAGTAAGCGCGTCGCGTGGGAAATCGATGACTGTGGTGGGAGAGCCGCGTACCGAGACGTTACGGCTCTTTCGACTCTCTCGCGAACGGAAAGATTCGTGCCCTGCGTCTACACGTATGTGGAATTTTAACGAAAACGTTGAATAAAAAGATAACTGTCACTGTACGTTTCTTTTTCTTTTCGGAGGGGAGTCGACTGCTCCCTTTTCTCTCGTTTTCTTTCTCTTTCCTCCTCTCTCCGCCTGACGTGCGTTTAAAAAGATTACGAATGGATAAAATGTATCTCGAACGTATTCAGAACGAAACTGTCCTCCCAGGCACTGTGCGACTACACGAGAGAAAATCACACTGTCGTAAGAACTCTCCGTCAGACCTCGCTCGACACTGGCCCGGGTGGGGAGCCGACGCGACGTTGCCAATAGGCGGCAGCACCGCTCGGGTTGCGCCTCTATCCCCACTCTAATCCGACTGCGCCTCGCTCCCTCTCCAAAGCGCTCGTTGTCTCCGTCTCTCTCGCGCACCTGGGAAACACTCCCGTGCGTCTCCCACTCCCCTCTTTCGCTCTATTGGGAATACGTCTGTCACGCTTTCTCCACCGAGTCGCTATCCGGTTCTCTCGCTCCGCTCCGACGGCTCCGACTCTTCCCTTCTCTCTCTCTCGCTCTCTATCACTCACCGTCTCGCTCCCACGGAGTCCGTATCTCTCCCACTTGATCGCCGCTTATTCTGCTCTCCCTTCCACGCCCGTTCCGCGTCCTTCTCCTTGCTACCGCGATGTCCTTGTCTACCGCCTTTGATTGCGCCTATATATCTCTTACGCGTCTACCTCTCTTTTTTTCCTCTCCTCTCACGTCCGTCTCGCTCGCTCGCACGGGACCGCGAAATTCGGTCGAACACACGCGGCGACGTGCCTTCGACACCTTGTGTAGTGTGTCGGAGGGGAGCGCGAGATTTTCACGGAGCAGCTCCTTTCTCCAACCAAACGGTGCGGCGCGCCTCTCCTCTCTTTTTCTCCTTCTCGCACGCAGGGCACGTACTCCGCTCCCTGTCCTTCTCTGCTTGACAATAAGCGGTATCAACGTGACTCTCCGTCGTTTCTCGCGTGCGTGTCTCTCGTCGCGGATTACAACGTGATTCTTTTCTATGCTCACTGAGTACTCTCGCGCGCGCACGAAGGCACCGATGACTCGTAAACGCGTGAACGTTGGCACGCACGCAGAGACAGAGAGAGAGAAGGAGAGAGAAAACAGCGATGGAATCGCGCGTTTTTTCACGCGGCGTCGTACAATAAATATCCGTGTCCGCTTGGTATATATTATAAGCTACGTTCGCTCGATTTTCTACCAACGTCGCCCGACAGGCGTGTTTCCACGTAAGCGACTGAGGTTACGTTGCGCGACGACCGCCTCATCGACGACGAAGCCACGGAAAGCGGCGATTGGTCGAACACGGTCTCTCTCAGACTATCTTTCTCTCTCCCTTTCCCCTCGCCCCACCCCACCCCACCCCTCTCTTCCACCTCTTTCTCTCCCTCTCCGCCACTCCCGTTGTCTCGCTTGATGTTCGCTTTTATCGCTGGCTCGACGCTCGACGTCGATATTTCCTTTTTCTTCACGGGAATATCGCGACGAGATCCGCGATGAGGTCGACGATCATCGATTGCATTCGCAAATAACGTCGCTAGATCGACGAAAAGTCATATACGGCTGCGCCGATGCGTGCGTGTGCGTGCGTGTGCGTGCGCTCCGTTTGTGCAGGCGAGCGCGCGCACGTCAGCAGAACGGAGAAGCGAGCGCGCCCCTGCTCCTGTCTCGAATGGTCTCGAAAACGGGAACGCGGAGGAAACGGAGGAAACGCACGTATTACAGCCAGCCAGCCAGCCCGACCAGCCAATCGTTCGCTCCGCCGCACGCGCGCGTGTGTGTAACCGTAGTACGTCAACCGGCCGAGCGAGGGCAGCACCGTCGCTCACCGCCGTCGCGATTGGCACCCCGCCAGACCCTCTCCTGTCCCCGATGACCGCTTCTGACAAGCGAGCGAGCGAGCGAGCGAGTGAGCGAGCGAGAGAACGAACGATGGAACGAACGGACGAGCCGTTCCTCCCCTCGTCGTGTTCGTGCGTCCGGACACCGCATCCACCGTCAGCTGCGCATTGCGCCCCCCTCCATGGCGCCATGCTGGAGGATCAGTGGAGACGCGGTGTTCAGGGATGGATAAAATAACTCGGAGTTGTTCCACCGTTGTTGCTCTGAGAATGTAAAAGCAGATAGAAATTTCCACGACGAGATATTTCTCTTATTACTAATATAATGTAGATTTTACAAAATTAACGCGATAACGGCGTAATTATACCCTCATTATCGCGTGCCCGATAAGCTCCGAAGTTACTGGCGATTATTGTGTAAGGTCATAAACAAGTAATTGCTCGGAGCAGTAAACCGAGAGAGAAAACGCTCGAATTTATTTTTGAAGTTTATACATATGTCACTATATAAAGTATCTAGGTACCCAACGCACGTATCCGTAGAAAACCGTAGAATAGATTCGCTGTAGGTTCGCTCCTTTTTTTATTATTACTTTGTCTCCTTTACCTTTTCTTGCATACAACCAGAAACTAACAAACAAGATAATCAAAAGTTTAATAAAATTCGATACAGTTGTTACAGCAATGGTTATTTGAGCTAAAGTTATATTATATAGCTGTCTGTACAGGGACGCATGCATACTTTGCCAACGGATATCTCACGACTGAAATGCTCGACTGTTTCTGCCAGTCTCTTGAGACCGATTTTCGAAGGGTGAATCTTACGCAGCTGCGTTCAAATGATACGCCGGTGTGTACATTTGCCAAATTTTATCATCTTGCTCGCGTGTAAGATAAAGATGTAGCGCGCCTGATGAGCCGTGTTCTTTTGGAACATCCAGTAGAGCGTGTTGGACGGCGATTTATCAAAACTGAGAGGTATTCCGTGTTGTTTAAACTCCAAAATCAGGTGGCGGCGCGATACGAAGAGAAGAAATTGAACGTGCGCCCTGACTTTGAAAATAATTTTCGTTCTTCTGCAGAGAAATCGCAAAAGGTCAAAGATACAGCGCGTATAAATCTCTCGAAAGGTCAAAGATACAACAAATGCAATTTTTTATAGAGAGTTCAATTTTTAGTAGAGGAAAGTAGTTTCAAGTGACAAATTAAAATATTTTTACAAAAATCTGAAGTAATTTTGAAAAATTATAAAAGAAAAAATCACACATCGCGTAGTATAGCACGCAAATATATTTAAAATAAGTTTACTTAAAATATTTTTATAGAATATAATTATGTAAAATAATTATGTAGAAATATTTGCCAAAGTTTAAAAACAACTTAAATAAACATCGCAATAATTTTTCAAAATTTTACAACAAAGTAAAATCGTTCGAGTATTTTTTCTTCAGAATATACGTTCAAATTCCGACTTCTTGTGCGTTCGGTAGGTCCCATAGAGGGACCCACTTTCTAAGTAATATAGATAAAGTTACAGCAAAGAAAAGGGCGATAAAGGTGAAGCGAACATTGAGTTTTCCCAGGAGCGTCTTCCTGCGTCTTGACGCCCCGCTTTCCACCGTCTCGCTGCTTCTTCCGAAATAACTCGAGTGTTCGAGCGTTCCTAAATTTAAACGACTCGGGCTGCCGGAGATTCGATCGTCCTTAAAACTGTGATAATGCCTTTTCCTTTTTGCCCGCCACAGACGGAGCCCCGTGAAGCGGAGTGGAACGGAGCGGAGCGAAGAGAAGCGAAGCGATTGTGCGGACTATAGGCACAGGCACGTAGGCCAGACAGATAGGAAAGCAAGCAGCAAGCAGGCAGGCCAGGCAGGCCAGGCAGGCAGGCAAACAGGCAAACAGGCAGGCAGGCAGGCAGGCAGGCAAACAGGCAAACAGGCAGGCAGGCAGGCAGGCAGGTAAACGGACATGCCGGGTATAAGCCCCGGCAACATGGCCGTCGACTCACCGTTATGCGCCTCGTGCCCCCTATACAAAAGAGAAAGGGCCGCGCCGGTCGGTCCGCCCCCTCTGTCCCTCGGGCGCTTGAAATTCAATTCCGGCACTGCCGCGCGGCGCGGTTGCCAGATCGACCGACCCTCGTTCGCTCGCTCGCTCGCTCTCTCCTTCTCTCGCTACCGTCCGTTATCGAACGTTCGATTTACACCGAGCGCGCGGCGCGGGAAGATTTTCGTCGAGGCGATATCACCGCGACTTTGCGGGGAAAATTGCAGCGTGACGCAAAATCGAGAAAAATATGTAAATACTAGTGCCGATGTGTAACATTAATTACAACATAATTCTAACTGAAACGAGAATACGACCCGAAATGTTGAAAAACGAGGAAAAAAAGATTAATAATAGACTGTGCTGTCAGAGAACGCTCCAGCTGAATCATTTGTATTCGATTCCCTTCGCCTCTTCATATCACGCGTGTCGCGCGCACGAGTGGTTTTTTTTGCCACATCAACGAAAAAGCCGTTGAGCCGATACATTGATGTATTATACATAGAGATATTCATGCGAGTTCTCATTTTACTGCGACGGTCTTTTAAATCGTTCTTGTGTATGGAATCGCAAACACATCAAACGGGACGAGTACTACTGTCGAGGGATCGACTCTTAATCCGGAGAGCGTATATAATTAGTAGATCTACATGTGTACTTCAATTAGCGATTGTTATCAATGCTTGCTGTATTTTCTGATTGCACTCATATATCAGAATTCGTTTTTATCCGTATCTTAAAAATGTCTGGAGTACAAAACTGAATACCATTGTCAGTTATTACATACTATTGAAGTTGTGTTTGCTCGCTAAAGCGAAAATTATTTTTCCCTTTATGTCTTTCATCGTAAATATTTTAGGATGGTTTTTAATTATTTTATAAATATATGTAAGGTGATTCTTAATTATTTTAAAAGATTTTAAGAGAGAGAGAGAGATGATTTCTCATATTTTAATTCAAGACGAAAACTAAATTTCTCTTTTACATTATATTTAAAAAAGTAAATGTCTTCAAAAGATGAGCCTTTATGTTCTTGAAATATATATGAAATTTCAACCAAATAATTCGAGTGAATTTCGAAATTTTTTAAAGCTTCCTTTTTCCTTTAATATCCGTTTCCTTTGATACCCGTATTTTTGAACTAATTGTAAGCCATTCCGGACATATAAAGTTTTTTGAATTTAAAAAAATGTAAGGAATAACTTTTTAAAATATATTTGAAAATACTGGACCACCCTGTATAGATTATCACAAAGATGAATATAAAAGGTTCATATTAGGCGAGCTAAAAATTTCCGGGAATATTTCTTTTTTTTTCACGAATAAAACGACGAGTCAGCAAGGTGTCGCCAACGGGAAGAGTTGCATAAGATCGAGTCGCGACTTCTCGCGATACATGTAATTCCGGTGACGTTCTGACGACGGTGACATTGAAAACCCTTCGATTTGTAAACGTAGACGAAGATCAAAGTGTATGAAAACAAAAAAAACAGCAAATAAATAATACTCCAAGTCTATTCAAGCGCGATGAGTCGCAAAAAGTGTCATATATCTGACAGATAAAAAAGAACTAAAAACATCAGGAGGTTGAGAATGTGATTACTTGGAGGCAAATACCCTGGCATTTCGTGCCAATTACATGATGCAATTAATATAGATGCAGATATCGATTATTACAGGCATTATATATATGCAGACTATATATTTATAGCGATTATATTTTCTAGGCGTACGAGCGAGAGGGGATATTATTTAATAGCTAATTTAATTTATGACATTATTTCAGTATGTGATTTCAAGTCCGATAATTGCAAAATTTTTTTAATTTACATATAAATATAATTAAGCATGGAGACTCAGTCTCGAGTTATTTGCGGCCCTTTCTCTCTCTTTACTTAATATATAATTCCCTTACTAAAATTATAATTAACAAATATAACTGAACTAAAAAGAAATTCTCATAGAAGTGTGTTATCTGTATGGATTTTCTGTGGCACGTTAAAGACTATTTTTAAATCAATTCAATCTCCCTATATTCGCGCCTTTCTATTCTTATCTACTCTTTTCAATTCTCGCGACGGAACAATGAGAGAATGAAAAAAAGCATTAAAATTCCTTAATCAAAATTAAGATATGTTAACGAATTCCCTTCCGTTGTTGCGAGCAATATCGCGACTTCGTTACTAACGAAGTCGGCGGTAAGAAGTAACCAAGAAACTTCCAATGCATCGCCAAGCTTCGAAAAGATTATTAGTTACATTTCACAACATAAATTTCCATTCGTATTCTTTATCGTTCACTCGTTTCGCGAGGAAAATCGCTGACTAAAAATCATAAGTTTCTCAGCGAGAAGAAGAGGGTGGGGGGGGAGGGGGGATATGCTCAGATAT